AAGTTACTAAACTAAGAAAGAAGACTTTATATTGCTTGTAAGTTTGTGGAACTTTGTATATAAATCATTGTTTGTAGTAGCTGTCTGTAATAACTGTTATTGTAAATTGTATTATTGTTTGTATATTAAAATATCTTTGTATAAAACAAAGAAAACTGTGTGTATCAATCTTGTTGGCAAATATCATAAATTGGATACATATCAGCATTTATTTAACTACTAACTATAAATTACAATTGAACTCAATTTTAGGCTATTTGAAATTGTAATACGTAACAACATACTAGCATGAACTAGGAAAGAAATGATAATTATAATATTACCAGAGCCAGTCTAATCATGGTAAAACAGATGCAAATTCATGAAAACTGACAAAAGAAGGTTTAGATTCACTTAAATATTTAGGTTCTGTAACGTTACACGTGAAAAACAAGTCTAGGTTGATTTGGTTCTTTCAAGGATCTGGTCGTTGTTTAATGACTTTCTCTTGTATGGTATTGGACAACTTAGATACTTGCGTAAGTCACGTACAAAGAACATTTCCTGGGTCAGTTGTTTAGTCTGAACAGAAGCAAGCTTACCGAGTCAACCAGTCAACATTTGTTGCTTCTCTGAGCTTCCTAAACGTTCCCATGCATCACTACATTTTCATGTTGCATGTAAATGTAACAGTGCTAGTGAGACACGAGTTTTACGTTCCTTCTACCCTTCTTAAAGAAACGTAGTGAATCCCTATTTTTATCTAATATCATTATTTTTATGTCTCCACGGAGAGTTTGTTTGTTTTTGAATTTCGCGCAAAGCTACACGAGGGCTATCTGCGCTAGCCGTCCCTAATTTAGCAGTGTAAGACTGGAGGGAAGGCAGCTGGTCATCCACAAAAAGACATACCGTTTTTCTTTTGTTTCTTTTTCTTTTTTTCTTCTTCCAAACATTATTAAATCAACCGCCATTTCTTCATTTCTAGGGCGGATTGACTTGAAACTTGGCAGGATTATATCTTAGTCCAACACGCCCATGAACGTTGTTTTTATTTAGTCCTTTTCAAGGATTTTATGGGGTAAAATATCACAAATACCAAAAATGTATATTTTGGGCTCCTGTGTAGTCATACTTGCAGCAATCTAGATGAAAATTGGCACAAATGTTAATTTTCATGTACCCAACAGATTGCATTTAAAAATTTTGGATTTTGGGTCTATTTTTGAGATTCAGTACAAAGATACTTTTCTACAGGTCCGATACATATACATACAAAAGTGTAGGATATGTCCCTTTTGTTTATTTTAGGGAGGTCAAAATGTCACAAAAAACATAATTATAAGGATTTTGGTCCATTTCTTGGTAATATTTCGACCAATTTACATGCAATACCCAAACAAAGATATAGACTATTTTAGAATTTTTGTCTTTTGCTCAATTTTTCAGTGATGAAAGCACAATTTGGTGTTTTTTGTGAACTATTCTTATGTTGGTCAACTAACTTACATGATATTTGGTACAAATATACCTTCTTGCAGGTCCCAAGCAGTGATATATACAGTTTTCGATTTTTCTAATGTCAAAACTGGTCATGTTGGGATTGCGTGGCGGGAACCTGTTGCATTCGCCTGCGAATGTTGGCCTTTGTAATTTTCAGATAGTCTGCAAATATATTACGGCGTACGTGAAAATAAATTGACTCTGATAACATTGGATTTATCTATTTTTCTGAAAAAGGGTAAACTGACACCAGGCGAGATTGGAATCCGCTCAGCGTAATAGTTACTTCTTCATAAATATTTCAAAATTAGAAAGAAAGTGTGGCACTTTTAAGCAACATTTTATTTTGATATAGCGGCGTGTTTTGCTAAATATTAGTTAGCAACGGTTTCCATATAACCAAACAACGCATTTCAATTTAGCCTGGCAGCGGTTTCAATATAGCCCAGTACCGGTTTTAATCTAGTCTAACAGCGGTTTCAATCTAGTCTAGCAGCAGTTTCAATCTAGTATAGCAGCGTATTTCAATCTAGCCCAATAGCGTGTTTTAATATGATGTTTGTGTCGTGGATAATTATTTTTAGACAAATATGATTACTGCTTAATAATGAAAACATGTTTTTAGTTTTAAACCTGAAATCGACATTAATCTAAAATCAGGAAGATGCTGGTATATTATAGTAAAAATTCAAAACTGAAAAGACAAAAAGATAAAATAATAAACATATGAAAATATTCTTACACTCTCACAAAGATCATAACAATTGAACTCATTGCTAGAACCTATAATACTTGAAGTGGAAAATGTCTTATCGCATTGAAACATGCCAGAAATGCCTTCTGTTAGTTCTGCTATATTAGGTATGTTAATACACTGAAATGTACAAGACCTTTTATTGACCCAGGACCCTTCTAACAAGAACACATTTAAAGTGTTAGAATAAACAGAAATTTAAAACGTACACTGTTTAAAATCCATGAATACAGAGATTTTATTCTTTGTGTGGAGTCTATTTTTATAAATGGTAATGAGCTAACAGGTTTTTTATGAATACCTCATCTAAAAGCTTATGCGTCAACGTGTAACTTATAAAGCTTTGTTAGTTTTATGACGCAATTTCAATACGAGTACTTGTAAGGCAAGTTATACTGCTGTTCTCATTATTAAACGACTACCAACAGGAACATTTTCTGTAAATAAGATATTTCATTCATTAATTAATTCACATTTGTTGAAAATTAACAGAGAAACCGTCGAAAAAACATCATTTTACTGCAAAGTGATAACCTTCAAGTTAAGTTTTACCCGTGTTGGTACTGTTGCACTTCTGTCACGATATTTTCTCGGATTAAGCAGGATATATCTGAGTTGTGAGTTCTTTAACGTTTCCTGTTATTAATCGCTACAGCGTTTCTGACAGAACTAAAGAGTTACGAAGAGTTATTAACATACGTAAATGTACGCTGTTTTGTATAATTCTAGAAATGTTAATGTTTTAGAATTAGGTGTAGATGGAGGTTAAACCAGTCCAACCATAGCACCATAGCAGTTTCAGGTTTACCACATAGCCCTGTTAAGACGAGTTAATCCGGTTCTGCGATAGATAAAGCCAAAATTATGAACCCTGTAATATTAAAAAGTACATATGAAATTTTCCTTATCGTTGCGATTCTGATATCACGAAATCACAGAAGCCTTTTTCTAGGTGCAAAAAATGAGAAAATATGAACAGTAGAAAACTATACGCGCGTACAGGTTATCCAATAGTAAATATATCAAACACTCTTTAAAACAATTCAATATTCAAGGAATGAGTCGGGTTTTTATATCCAGAAATAATTGAAGCCATTTTTTTAAAGTTTATAAATAAAAATTCACTCCAAATGCATGCCACACAAGTACCTCTAAATATCTAATTCAAAATTCAGTATCAATGCAGTACATTCAGATCTTGATAGTTATAATCTATGAAAAAATTCTGAATTGTTCGATCGTGACGTGATCTTATATTATAAGGACACTTTTTATTAAGATATTCTGTGACCAAAAGTTCATTTTGATATCCTTAAGTCTAATACCTTCTTACATTCTAGATCCTCTGTGCCAACATAGAAATCTTAGAAAGAAGAAAATGAAAAGAACGACTATTTACCTTTCCATTAAGTTACTATTATACGATTTCTTAACATTGGTCTTCCCAGTATTGTAGATACTTTATACACAAAACAGTTTTTTACAAAGACAGGAGTTACCAGAAATATTCTAATTAAAGAATGAATCTGTTATTGATCAAGATTAGCCAAGTATATATCAAATCTGAATTTGAATTATTTTATTACAAAACTATACGCAAATAATTATTTTATGATCCCTCATTAAGAGAACACATACGAGTGAAAACGTCACTCACTAACAGAGATCTGGCTATAAAACGAGTGTAACAGATAATTCACGACATGGAAAAATAAACAGTTTTTTTTAGAACAGAAAAGGCAACATAAAGACGAGATGTACAATAACCTTCCCATTATTCACTAGGAATATATAAAACACAGAAGATTATTACAAACAATGTTACATCTACTCACCAGCGGTCGACAGAAACATCAGTAGCAATAATGATTCAAGTGTAGAGTATTCCCAGCGTCTACCAAATTTTCTGAATAATTTCTGATTCTTCATCTCGTTGTGAACGAAACACACGAAATTCTGACTGGAAAAATAAGCCTTTAAGTTTAAGAGGCCAAAAAGGTTTTTAATTAAGCTTGGCCTTCAAGTCAAATTTTAGTGTAAGGGAAAAAGAATTATTTGTATCAAACGAAGGACAATAAAACAGATGAAAAAGTAACACGTCAACTTTTAGATTGTTTTCTTTTCTTTCCTGCTTTTCCTTTGGTACAAATTCTTAGAATTCTTAGAGGGTATATTTTTACAGTCAGGTTAGTTTAAAGTTTATAAGAACGAGCACTTATATACATCACGCTCACATACTCATGAGTCTTGAAAATGCATCAGCGAACCAGCTGCGTATGTACATTTGCTCTGTACGTGAAGCGTTAGCTACACCATCAACACTCTTTTTTGATAACATAGGGCGCCATCTAGTGAAACATCAAGATAGAAAGAAGGCGAGAAGTGATACAGTCTCAAGGTCAGTAAAACGCCATCTAAAGACAAACTTTTAAATTAAAATTTAGTAGAATTACTAATTTTTAGATAATGCTTATTAGCGACATTATTTAAAGTATTTTAAGTAATAAAAATACAGAAAATAACAATAGCTTTTGTTATTGTTAAAGGTTATATTATAAAAAGAATGCTTTAAATATGAGAGCAGTTAGATAAAAAACCTGCATGAAAGTCAGAAAAATAAACAAGATAATTGAAACAAGAAACATAGAAAACATCTAAATGAGTCGAAGAGTCGGAACGGCTCAAACTTTTTCTGCTAAAAGCCAGCATGTGATTAAAAAATTTCATCGTTTTTATGTTTCCATTTATCGAGTTTTTGTAACTGACAATTTGATCTGGACAGTTGAGAATCAGTATTGATAACTGGCTCTAACTTTGACATCCATCAAATTATTCGATCATTAGCCATACATTTCTTTTCAACATTAACTTGTAAATGGTTTGAACAATACCCTGAGAATATTTTAACATTAGCTTGTGAATGGGTTTAATATTAATTTGGGAATGGTTTTAAATTAACTTGTAGGTGGTTTTAACAATACCTTGAGAATATTCTAACATCAATTTGTGAATAGATTTATTACATTGTATTGTTTTTTTTTAATTATGCACAAAGCTACACAAGGGCTATCTGTGCTCTGCCCACCACGGGTATCGAAACCCGGTTTCTAGCGTTGTAAGTCCGCAGACGTACCGCTGTGCCACTGGGGGGCTATTACATTGTAAATGGTTTTATTATTACATTAGGAATAATTTTAACGTTAACTTGGAAATATAATTAACAATCATTTGTGATAGGTTTTAACATTACCTTGTGAATGGTTTGAACTTTAACTTGTGAGAAGTCTTAACATTATCTTAATAGTTTTATTAGGATCTTGTGAATGTTTTTTTTAATATTAATTTTTCAATAGTTTTAACATTAACTTGCGAATAGTTTTATCATTACCTTTTGAATGGTTTTAACAATACCCTGTGAATATTTTAACATTAACTTGTGAATTGTGTTAACATAACTTGTGAATGATTTTAACACTAACTTACGAATAGTTTTATTACCATGAGAATGGTTTGATATTATGTTGTGAATGTTTTTAACATTAACTGGTGAAAATGTAAAACAGCAGCTAGATGTAGTTATCTGGCAGTAATGTAAAAAATGTTATGACTAATGGGACCATTTGACGCTTCGTTGCATTCTTTCTATTTTATACTTTTATTAAAAGTCTCCAGTGGGTGATTGTACATTTACGTACGTACAAAGCCAAAATCCGGTGTTTTATTCCTCACAATGGTCAGAGTGGGAAAAGCCTTTAGTGTAGCATTGTACTAACAACAACAAAATTTTATTAAATATTATCACGGTGTTAAGTACATTCTAATCAGTTTGTTATAAAAGATATATGTCAGGTATTTTTGAAAATCCGATTTTTTAAAGTTTATTTATGCTCAGAAGTACTTATTAATTCATTTAATTAATCACCACATGTTGTTTCTGGTGTACATTAAAATCTTTAAATTTATGTAGTCTTCAATCTTTTCTGTTGACCATTGATATTTTGAACAAACTTCTATTTCAACTCGAGTCTAGCTGATAACTGAAATCAAAACAACATTTTATATACTAAAACTTTATTAGAAGAAATCTCGTGTTCCCAGAGCTATTGTTCGACCTGTCTATTTTTAGGATGTGCATTAAGTAACTACAAATAGGCGGGGCCAACTACATAAAACATTTGTTGGGGAAAAAGGAGAAACAAATAAGATAATGAATAGCACTTTCAAAAATCTTAAGGCGTTAACGTATTATTTCGGATTATAGTATAAGCACTGTCTGAATGGAAACTGACATGATAGTTATCCTTCAAAGTGTTTGTTTTTCTAGCATCTGTGGAAGGAAGAATGTGAAAGTTTTATTTTTATTATAGACTACTTCAAAACAAACTAGAACGTCAAATTTACCTTCCTCTGCACTAAGAAACATAATTTATCTTTTTCCCCCTAGTGTCGGCTGGAAGTGTGATTAACTGGATCTAATCTTTAACATTTCACTAATAGATGGAAGGAGAACATGCCATGGTTAGAACTGCATCTATTTTGGCGGTTTTACTGACTGATGTCAGCCCCCAAGTGGCACAGCGATATGTCTGCGGACTTACAACCCTAGAAACCGGGTTTCGATACCTGTGGTGGGCAGAGCACAGATAAACCATTGTGTAGCTTTGTGCTTAAATTGAAACATTCTTTTTCTTATATGACTTAATCATTGGATTAACTTTTGTGCTGATCATATAAACTTAACAATCCTGTCAAAGTATAAAAAACAAAAAACAGCATAGACTTTCCGTCTAAGACCCTCTTTCATATCCTTCACCATGCTTATTGATCGTAACTGGAGTTAGGCTTTATTTCATTGTTTAAAACTCGCTAAACAGCAACAAACATGAATATCTCTTTAAAGTAAAACGTACATTTGACCCCTGTGGAAAAGCGGTAAGTTAACGGACTTACAAAGTTAAAGTCCGGGGCTCGATTCCCCGCGGTGGACACAGCAAATAGGCTAACGTGGTTTTGCTCTGAAACAAATAGCGTCAGAACATATAATTCTATGTTAATCCTATACGTAAATCGCAAAAACAATTTCGTTGAAATTTCGTGGTTGCACCAACAAAATAATGTGTATTGAAAGCACTCATCATATTTTGAATCAACCGTTTTACACACTAAAATTGAGCCGTGGTTGCACCAAACTAGTTTATTCTCAGATGTTCTAAGCATATATTTGTTAATGATTTAAAGTTTCTAAAAATAGCCAGTAATATACTCACTGGCCCGGGATGGCCAGGTGGTTAGGGCGCTCGACTCGCTATCTGTGGGTCGCGGGTTCGAATCCCCGTCACACCAAACATGCTCGCCCTTTCAGCCGTGGGGGCGTTATAATGTGACGGTCAATCCCACTCTTCGTTGGTAAAAAGAGTAGTCCAAGAGTTGGCGGTGAGTGGTGATGACTAGCTGCCTTCCCTCTAGTCTTACACTGCTAAATTATGGACGGCTAGCGCAGATAGCTTTGCGCGAAATCCATAACAAACAAACAATATACTCACGTAGAAGTAAATTATAGGCCACTTTCATCTAGTCTCCAGGTGGTGCTTTTCAGCCCGAAAGGTATAATTCAGAATAGAATATTAACCACTTTGATAAGTCGTTGAGTTATCAAGTACCCTAACCCAACGCTAAAGGTTTCTTAGTCATTTTAACCAATCATCTGCTGTCAATTATCTCGTGCTCATAAAGTTGAATCCCAATCTCACAACATCTTTATTAAGCATTGGAGATTATGTTATTAAAAACAGTTTGTCCAAAGCTAGAATTATGTTCGAAATACGTTCTTAGTACTTGTACCTGAAAGCAGTAACAATGATGATAAATGTAACCTCAAGACTGTTGTGAGAACATTAATAATTTATGTACATTATTATAATTTTACTAACGCAAAATTTTATTTAGTATATGTATATTGTTATAAATTCACAAATGTAAAAGTTGCTTAAGACTTTTTTCAGGCTGTTAACCTTGAACTACAGATTCTTGTAATCCTTGAACTGAATATACTTGTTTTGTTACTCTAGCTCCCTATAACTGAACCAGACTTTTGTTTTTACAATTCTCACAGAAGCGCCATCTAGTTACTATAAAAGTATTTTGTACATACCAATTTTGTCTGTTTGTTTGTTTTCTCAAACTTTATTTGCAAAACATTTCAAAGTTCGTCATTCTTTTCTTTTTTCTTGCTGCAAGACATTCAAATAAGAAACAGTTTGAATAACAATTCAATTTAAAGTACCCTTTTAAAATACATAAAAAATTTTGTAACTGATAAATTTCTTACTTTATTATTTTCTAATTTGCTTGTAATATCCCAATTTTTTTATTTCTCATGTTTTTAGACACAGTCTTTTATATTATAATACTGTTGGTTACTTCTTATACGAATAAAATCATCACAATATCCTAGAAGTTGTTATTTTAAAACTTGAGGTCCAAAAAGAGCACTGCATGTTCATTTACAAAATGTTGTGTGGTTGTCATAAGTTAAATTTAATTTTTCTAGTTTAGTCACAAAAAATTTAAAATTTCAAACAGTTTATACCAAATCAAAATTTTTTTTCTATCCGTGGATAACAATCAATATATTTAATAACAATGATTTTTTATACACTATTTAGGAGATTTCCACATTATTTGGACATAACAAATCCATTTTGATACTGTTTACAGAAACGTGAAGTCTTATGAATCCATGCAACATAAATGATATCTAACATTAACAAAAACCACCATATTGTAATAATTCCAAACATCTGATTGCATGTAGGGTGTCTAGAGCAGGTTTCGGTAGTTTTCCTTCACTTTAATAATTTATTTCATTCATGTATGTTTTAATCGCCCCTATAAAGGGATATTAAGGTCATTCATGAAAGCTTTTAAACTATCTAATACCCACTTTCTCATAGACACAGATCAAGTTTAATATGTGACATAACTAGTTTTGAGGAATGCGTTATTACAAGCCAAAGAAGAAGAAGAAAAAAAAACAAAGTAGTAAATAAAAGGGACTTTAACGTCTTAATCTTCCCATAAACTCAGAAAATTCGGGATGAACAAGAAAAAATTTAAATCTTCCCTCATAACAAGAGACACAAATAATTGTTCTTTTACAAAGAAGCGGCGGGATACAAGTCTTTGCATTCGGTTAATTCAAGCATCAGAGCTGATGACGGATTCCTTGCTGCAATGGATGTTCACTAAGTGTCAGTTGTAAGGAGATGTTGTTGTATTT